GTGTCTCTCCTGTTTGTATGTAGTTATCTCATTGTTGTCAGGTAGAATGTAAGGAAATATTTCAGTTTTCCCAAATTTGCTCAGACATTCTTTGTATCCTAATATATGATCTATTTTAGAGAAAGTTCCATGGACTGCTGAGAACAAGGAGTATTCTGCAGTGTTCAGATAAAATATTCAATAGATGTTTTTAAGGCAATTTTACCTGTGATGTCATTTAATTCCATTTACTCTATATTGGGATGAAGCATTAATTGTTGGATGTGAAACTACTATGACACCTGGTGATAGTCTGTGGTTTTATATCTAATAGTATTTTCTGTATAGAACTGTGTGCAAGTGTGTGGAATTGTAAAGATCTTCTCATTTCTCATGAACTGTTGCCTCAATCAGTAGGAAATATTAATTATCAATTCTCACTAGATTTACTTTAAGTCTATTTTGTCATATGAGATCAGCAACACTTGGTTTTTTCAAGCTCCATTTTCCTTGAACAACTTTTTTCATCACTTCATTGTAAAATATATCTGTCTTTTATTATGGAGTACAACAAACATATACTTCATACTTTTTATTCCAATCCCCTAGCCTGTGTTTTTTAATTGGGAATTGACATTAATATTCAGTTACTAGTGAAAGGTGCCTATTGATTACTGTTCTTTTGATGGTTTTTCCAAGGGTCTCAAGTTGTTTTTTTGTATGACTGTTGTTCTAGTTTGCTTTATAGTTTCAGTGACAAAATGCTCTTGCCAGAAAAATGTAGGGAAAGAAAGGTTTTATCTGGCTTCCACTTTCACATCACAATCTATCTATGGGAGACGTCAGGGCAGTATCTCCAGAAGGAACTGAAGCAGAAACTATTTTACAAATCTGCTAACTCATTCAGTGTTTCAGACTAGGTTAGAGTCTTTATACGTCCCAGGACCAGCTACCTATGCTGTGGGCCCTAACACATCAATCATCAATGAAGACAACAATTCAAACCCTTGGTCACAGGCCAATCTGATAGGGACAATACCTTAACTGAGACTTTCTCAGATAATTCTGGGTTGTGTCAAGTAGACTGGTAAAGCAATTGTATGCTTTTGCAGTCTTATGGATGAATCTGTTTTTCTCTTTGTTCTAAAAGACTCCTATAAATTTATTTTGTAAAGCTGTGTTGATGGGTATAAATTCATTTTGCATAATTTTAGCATGTAAAATTTTATTTCTCCTTGAGTTATGACAAGCAGCTTGGATGGGTACAATAGTAATTATTGGTTGTCTTTTATAATTTGAAGTATAGCTTTCCAGTCCCTTTTGGATTTTAAAAATCTGTATTAAAAAAATCTGTTATTCTGACAGACTTTCCTTTACATTGGACTTAGTGTTTCTCTCTTGTGAATTTCAATGTATTTTGTTTGTTTAATTATAATATTATGAGGGTGGGTTCTTTTCTTGTCTTGTCTCTGTGGTATTCGAAATTCTGCCTGTATCTGAATTAGCATCTGTTCTAACAAAAAGCAAATTAGAGAGAAAAGGATTTATTTTGCTTAGAGCACTACATTACAGTTTATGATTGATTGAGAAGACTTGGCAGGAAGTTAAAGCACTATGTTCAAGAGCAGAGAGACAATAAAGATGTTTACCCTTGCTTTCTTGCCCACAGCTAGCTTTCTCTTTCCTTATGCTTTTCTGCACCCCTCCAGTAGTGAAAGATGCTCCCCATAATGTGTTTTAACCTTCTACATTATCAATGAATTAACAGCACGACCTTTGAAACACATGCCCATAGGCCAATGGAATCTAGACTATTCCTCATTAAAATTCTCTTACAAGGTGGTTATAGGTTGTGTTAACACTAAAAGCCTCTAAACACAACATCTGTATTCCTAACTACAGGGAATGATCTTAATAAATGTTTTCTATACCTATAAACTTTAGATTTCCTCTTTTCATAGAGTGAAAGATATATTGGAATTCCCACTCCTACCTTCTTATTATATTATTTTGCACTTATTGTATTATCCCAGTCCTCCATCTTACCTTCACACTGTTATTTTTTCCTTTAAAATACCTTCTTTATAATGATCTGGTATATATGTATGTTTGAGTATTTGTGTGGTTACACACATCTCACAGAGCATTTGTGAGAACCTGAGAACAAATTTGTGGAGTCAATTGTCTAGTTGTAATTTATGTGGCTCACAGCAATGGTTTGGTCATCAGGTTTATATGATAAGCACTTTTTTACCCATTATTATTTCACAATACCACCATTCCCTTTTGTATCTCTAATTCCTTCAATTACTATTGATTTGTTGTGTAGATCACTTGTGCTAATTTCTACTCTTCCTTCTGCAATAAAGTTTTTTCCATAATTACTTTTCAAAATTGTGTCATTAGGGGATGAAAAGAGCTTTAGTGCTCAAAAGAACTTCATGCTTTTTAGGGGAGGGGAGTGTGTTCGCCAGTATTCACATCAAGTGGCTCACAGTTTTCCATAACTGCAGCTTCAGAGGAACTGAAACTCTTCTCATCTCTGCAGACACACAAACACACAGACTCATACTCATATAAAAACACACATTCATATACAAAAAGAAAAATAAAATAAATCTGTCTAAAATTGTATCATTAACTACAAGTTTCTAGGGCCTTGCATATTCTCTGAATGTTCATATATAACTCTCTCTCTCTTTCTCTCTCCCTCCTTCCCTCCCTTTCCCTCCCCCTTTCCATCTCTCTCTAACCTTTCCAACTCCCTCTAACCTTTCCCCACACCTCTCTCTCTACTTGATGACTTATTCCCTTCATTCTTTTAATTGTAGTTATTAATAATGTCATATACCCTTGATTCATTCACTTGGTTTCACTCAACTGCTTGTTGTATCGATGAGAATTATTCTCAGCCATGTAATACAAAATGCCATTCTTCCCATCTATGTCTTTGATTCTTTCTCTCTTTCTAGGACCAGGAGACAATTACTTACTTTCCTACTAATTGAATATTACTCATCACTAACACTCAGATCTTGTGATTGGTTTTGGATACAACCACTAGGTCACAGCTCTTGATACATTTCAATTGATATGAAACAAAATAGTCAATATACAGGCTGATTAGTATGGTGCAAGCCTGCAATCACAATATTCATGGGATGGATTCAAGTGAATCAATAGTTCAAGACCATTCTTGTCTACATACCAAGACAGAGGCAGTCTTCTTGAGATATTCTTTTTAATACCTGCTTCCAACTAATCACTTATCTTTTAAAATGACTTCCAGACAGAACCACTGCTAATTTACAGTCACTAGCTTATTTTTAGTGCACTCCCTAAAATGGTTTTGGCTTTTTGGTTTGTTTTCAGACAGGATCTGTTGTATGCCAGATTGGTCACAAATTCTCTATATACTGGAATATGCCATTGAACCTCTGGTCTTCTCTTGTCTTGACATCCCGAGTTTTAGTATTGCAGGTGTATGCCATATTTGACTTGGCTTTTAGGTTTTCTTTGAATGTGAATAGGTATGTGTGTTTACAATAGTGTGATTATAAATGTGTGAGTGTGGCAGTTTTGTGCCAAAACTTGAATGTGGAAGGCAAGCAACAACATCAGGTGTTGAGCCTTAATTTCTACCCTGTTTGAGACAAAATCTCTTTCTTCTTGTTCATCGCTGTGTTTGCCAGCTTAGTTGGTCCCAATCTTCTGGACATTCTCCTGTCTCCACCTTCCATGTCATTGAAGGAGCACTAGGTAACAAAAAGAAACTGAATTATCATCTTTGAAAGGTTCCTGTGGATACAAACTCAGGTCCTCACACATGCACAGCAAATGCTTTCCTCTGAGTCATCACCTGAACCCAGCTTTCAATCTCTTTAAGTGGCCTAATTCTGTGTTCTATTATGTTTATTTCTCTCTACTACTTCTCTGTAGATCACTTACCCCCAGCTTTCAATCAAATCTTAGATTCCTTGAATTCATGCGTCCTACTGCTCTGACCCCTGCTTATCTCTGTACTTCACTCCCCACTTGATTCAGTTAGTTCTTCACATAATCATGAACAATGCTGATATGCAATGGCAGCTGAGAAATGCAGAGAGAGAAACAATGAACAAACAAATACCTAAACCTGGAACAATGAAGACACTGTGACTGTTGAGAAAACATCCCAATAGCCCTAGGAATGTAAATGAAGTTTTTGGGTGTGTATCAGTGTCCTGTGCTGTTGTTCCCCTGGGGGATGGGGGCAAGTAGGCACAGAGTCAAGGATATAGCCTCGGGGAGAATGGGGGGAAACAAGCCCAGTTCATTCATAAAGAGGCAAGTCTCACAGTAATTTGCATCTGCTGGTGTGGCTTGGCTGCCTCTCATTGGTCCAGGTGATCTCCAGATCATACCTCAGCTGCTTTTGCTAAGGCCCTTAAGCAGACCAGGTTGGCTTTTAGAAAGTATCTTTTGTTACTGTTTTGGGCCCATTTTTCCCTCAAGCCTGTTAGGGATGAGTCATCCCACAGGGGAGAAGGTGGAATTCTATGCCTGGAAGGTCTCTAGTAGTCTGTGTTTAGGACGCCAGGGTATTGAAGAGTCACTATTGAGACATGGTGGAAGTTTAGAGGTGGATGCCAGGGTGAGGAGATCTCCCTTAGAAAGGATCAAGACAGTTCTTTAGACATGATAGCAATATAAAGTCCAACTGTAGACATGGAAAGAATTCTCTGGCTTACTGTATTGGTATGATGGCTTCTCCCCAAAACATCCATCCATCTCTAAACCCCAACAGAAGGATGTCTCCATGAGACATCAGGGGTAACTCTGTAAGATGATGAGTTTACTAATGAACTTGATTTAATCAGCTCATTATCTGTGTGTGTGTGTCCAATGTTACATTGTATATTTTAAATACTGGTTTCATTTTTCTCAGTAAAGCAGTCTGCCATTTGCAGAAAGGTGAAGAATATCAGGAAGACATGACTTTCATTCTTTATAAGCAATGATTTCCACTTCGGTTCCCACAGTGGCATATGGATCATGGTTTGAGCACACCCGTGCCTGGCTATCCATGAGAGAAAGAGACAACTTCCTGCTATTGAGCTATGAAGACTTAAAAAAGGTAATTGTCATTCTTACAGCAATCACAGAGCCTCTCATAAACTCACACAATGTAGTAACCCATATTTCTCAGTATCCCCAGGTCAGTTTTAGATTCATAAAGAGTCAATAAAGGTGAAATTATGTCCTCGGTCCCTTATTGACATGCACCTGAAATTTTCTCTGTAGTTACCTTATCCATCACCCATATCTTTACCTTATCAACCCTGGAGTAGGTTGGGGTAGCTCATACTTGTGCTATAGGTTTTGTAATTCTGTCTATGCAACACATTTAATAACCTTATAATCCAGTAGTCTGTGGGGAATAGATAAAGCACATCCATTCCACTGTTGTGCCAAAATGTACGTCATCCCCCCTTGATGACAAGAAGAGGGACAAAGGCAGGAAATCCATCGGTGAATCCTGGGAGAGCACAGGAGCTGAAGTCACATGAACTGAGTGATATATACATCTGACCAGGAATGTACAAGATGCAGCCAGTCAGTGATGATTGTGTCCTTTGCTCTGCAGTACACGGGTTTCTGCATGGTGGGCTAGAATACACTGAAGATTTCAAAACTCTTAGTAAAGAAGATCTAAAATATTTCAACATTAAGTAATGGCATATGTCTAAATAGACTGACAGGCCATATCCTTATCAGATCATTGCAGGTTTCAATTCATTGAAATGCCCCCACAGACAGGTAGCAATATGTTCAAGTACTGTGTATGTGTCTAAAATATCTATTATTTTGAAAATTAAAAAGGAAGAAACAAAGAGCTAAAGAGGCCCACAGAAATCCACAAAGATACCCCCACAAAAGACTGCTCGCAATGGTTGACAAGTCAGCTGGAACTGACCTACTCTGGTGATGGGATGGCCAAACACCCTAATAGTTGTGCCATAAACCCCATCCAAGGACTGAGGAATCTGAATGCAGACATTCATGGCTAGGCCCCGGGTGGAGGACTAGGAGTCTAATTAGTGAGAAAGAGGAGGGTTTATATGAGCGAGAATTGTTGAAACCAAGGTTGGATAAAGCACAGGGACAAATAACCAAATAAATGGAAACACATGAAATATGAACCAAAGGCTGAGCAGCCCCCAACTGGATCAGGCCCTCTGAATAGGTGAGACAGTCAATTGGCTTGATCTGTTTGGGAGGCATCTAGGCAGTGGTACCAGGTCCTGGGCTCGTTGCATGAGTTAGCTGTCTTAAGCCTGGGACTTATGCAGGGATGCTTGGCTCAATCTGGGAGGAGGGCACTGGACCTGCCTGGACTGAGTCTATCAGGTCGATCCCATTCCTCAGGGGAGACCTTGATCTGGAGGAGATATATAATTGGAAGTTTCCTGTCCCAACTACCTGGTCAAAAATAACCAACTCAGAGGCTGAATGTGATCTATAATTTCACAGCTGATAGCTCTGGCTTGTTACTAAATAATTCTTACCTTTAAATTAACCCATTTCTATTCATCTGTGTATTGTCAAGTGTCTCGTGGCTTTACCTGTCCTCTGACATGTCTTGCTTCCTAATTAGCCAGCTGGTAGCACTCCTGAATCTGTTCCCCTTCTTCCTATCATTCTCAATTTGGTTTTACTGACTAACTTCCTGCCCAGCTACTGGTCTGTCAGTTCTTTATTAACCAATATGAGTAAGACATATTGATAGTGTAGAAGGGATTGTTACCGAGAATTTTCACCTTTTGGTCTAATTAAAAAGAAAGTTTTTCATAGGTGTGTGGGTTAATGTCAGGGTCTTCAATTCGATTCCATTGGTCCACATGTCGGTTTTTATGCCAATACCAAGCGGTTTTTATTACTGTAGCTCTGTAATAGAGCTTGAAGTCAGGGATTGTGATGTCTCAAGAGGTTGTTTAATTGTACAGGATTTTTTGTCTATCCTGGGTTTTTTGTTTTCCATATGAAGTTGAGTATTATTCTTTCCAGGTCTGTAAAGAATTGTGTTGGTATTTTGATGGGGATTGTATTGAATCTATAAATTGCTTTTGGTAAAATTGCCATTTTTACTATGTTGGTCCTGCCTATCCATGAGCATGGGAGATCTTTCCATTTTCTGAGATCTTCTTCAATTTCTTTTTTCAGGGACTTTAAGTTCTTGTCATATAGATCCTTCACTTGCTTGTTTAGTGTTACCCCAAGGTATTTTATAACATTTATGGCTATTGTAAAGGGTGAGGTATCTCTGATTTTCTTCTCAGATTCTTTGTTCATTGTATATAGGAGGGCTACTGATTTTTTTGAGTTGATCTCGTATCCTGCTATGTTACTGAAGGTCTTTATAAGTTTTAACAGTTCCTGGGTGGAATCTTTGGGGTCATTCAAGTATAATATGTCATCTGCAAATAGCGAAAGCTTGACTTCTTCCTTTCCAATTTGTATCCCCTTAATCTCCTTATGTTGTCTTATTGCTCTGGCTAGAACTTCAAGTACTATATTGAATAAGTATGGGGAGAGTGGACAGCCTTGCCTCGTTCCTAATTTTAGTGGAATTGCTTTGAGTTTCTCTCCATTTAATTTGATGTTGTCTGTTGGTTTGCTGTAAAGTGCCTTTATTATGTTTAGGTATGTTCCCTGTATGCCTGGTCGCTCTAAGACTTTTACCATGAAGGGGTGTTGGATTTTGTCAAATGCCTTTTCTGCATCTAGTGAGATGATCATGTGGTTTTTTTCTTTGAGTTTGTTTATATGGTGTATTACTTTGATGGACTTAAGTATGTTGAACCACCCTGAATCCCTGGGATGAAGCCTACTTGATCATGCTAGATAATTATTCTGATGTGTTCTTAGAGTCTGTTTGCAGTATTTTATTGAGTATTTTTGCATCAATGTTCAGACTGTAGTTCTCTTTCTTTCTTGTGTCCTTGTTTGGTTTAGAAATCAGGGTAATTGTAGCCTCATAGAAGGAGTTTGGTAAAGGCCCTTCTGTTTCTATTATGTGAAACAATTTAGAGAGTATTGGTATTAACTCTTCTTTGAAGATCTGGTAGAATTCTGAGCTGAAACCATCTGTTCCTGGATTTTTTTGGTTGGGAGATTTTAATGACTGTTTCTATTTCCTTTGGAGTTATTGCATTATTTAAAGAGTTCATCTGGTCTTGATTTAACTTAGGTATGTGGTACCTATCCAGAAAATTGTCCATTTCTTTTAGGTTTTCCAGTTTTGTGGAGTAGAGGTTTTTGAAATATGACCTGATAATTCTCTGTATTTCCTCAATGTCTGTTGTTATATTCCCCCTTTTCATTTCTGATTTTGTTGATTTGGATTATCTCTCTGTCTTTTGGTTAGTTTGGATAAGTGCTTGTCTATCTTGTTGATTTTCTCAAAGAACTAACCCTTTGTTTCATTAATTTTTTGTATTATTCACTTAGTTTATATTTTATTAATTTCACCTCTCACTTTGATAATTTCCTGGCGTCTATTCTTCCTGGGAGACTTTGCTTCTTCTTGTTCTACAGCTTTCAGGTGTGCTGTTAAGTCACTAGTGTGAGATTTCTCCAACTTCTTCACGTGGGCATTTAGTGTTATAAATTTCCCTCTTAGCACTGCTTTCATTGTGTCCCATAAGTTTGGGTATGTGGTGTCTTCATTTTCGTTGATCTCTAGGAAGTCTTTAATTTCTTTCTTTATTTCTTCCTTAACCCATTGGTGATTCAGTTGAGCATTATTCAGTTTCCATGAGATTGTAGGTTTTCTGTAGTTTTTGTTGTTGTTGAAATCTAACTTTAAACCATGGTGGTCTGATAGAACACAGGTGGTTATTCCAATTGTTTTGTATCTGTTGAGATTTGCTTTGTGGCCAAGTATGTGGTCGATTTTAGAGAAAGTTCCATGGGGTGCTAAGAAGAAGGTATATTCTTTTTTGTTAGGATGGAATGTTCTGAAGATATCTATTAGGTCCATTTGGGTCATGACATCAGTTATGTCCTTTATTTCTTTGTTAAGTTTCGATTTGGGAGATCTGTCCAGTGGTGAAAGTGGGGTGTTGAGATCTCCCACTATTAATGTGTGGGGTTTTATATGTGGTTTAAGTTTTAGTAATGTTTCTTTTACATATGTGGGTGCCCTTGTGTTTGGGGCATAAATGTTCAGAATTGAAACTTCATCTTGATGGATCTTTCCTGTGATGAGTATGTAATGCCCTTCTTGATCTCTTTTGATTGATTTTAGTTTGAAGTCTATTTTTTGGATATCAGGATGGCAACCCCTGCTTGTTTCTTAAGACCATTTGATTGTAATGTCTTTTCCCAGGCTTTTATTCTTAGGTAGTGTTTGTCTTTGAATTTGAGATGTGTTTCTTGTATGCAGCAGAAAGATGGGTCCTGCTTTTGTATCCATTCTGTAAGCCTATGTCTTTTTATAGGTGAATTAAGTCTGTTGATATTAAGGGATATTAATGACCAGTAATTGTTTATCCCTGTTATTTTTTGTGGTAGCATGTGTGTACTTCTCTTCTTTGGGGTTTACTGCTGTGGTTTTATCTATTGCCTGTGTTTTTGAGTGTGTATCTGACTTCCTTCAGTTGGAATTTTCCTTCTAGTGCTTTCTGTAGGGCTGAGTTTGTGGACAAGTATTGTTTGAATCTGGCTTTGTCTTGGAATGTCTTGTTCATTCCATCTATGGTGATTGAAAGTTTTGCTGGGTATATTAGTCTGGGCTGACATCCATGGTCTCTTAGTGTCTGCATTATATCTGTCCAGGTCCTTCTGGCTTTAAAAGTCTCCATTGAGAAATCGGGTTTATGATGTGGGGAGGGGACTTTTTGGGGCATCTAGTCTGTTTGGTGTTCTACAGGCTTCTTGTATCTTCATAGGCATTTCCTTCTTTATGTTGGGAAAGTTTTCTTCTATGATTTTTTTGAATATATTTTCTGTGCCTTTGAGTTGTTATTCTTCTCCTTCTTCTATCCCTACTATTCATATGTTTTGTCTTTTCATGTTGTCCCAAATTTCTTGGACAATTTGGTTCATGACTTTGTTGGCTTTAGTGTTTTCTTT